CGATCCGTTGCCGGACACGGAAAAAAAAAAAAAAAAAAAAAAAAAAAGACTAAAACTAGAAAAATGCTAACACTTCTCATAAGAACTCAGGAAGTACACAAATCAGTTTGATTTTTGGAAAGATGAGTTATTTTGATACAGGCAAGTTGAATTTGAGGTGATGACAATGTTCATAAGAAAATTTCATGCAAAATACCATAAGGGCCTAACTCAAGACAAATATTAAGGTCTAAAAACAGAGGTGATAATTATCCACACAGAGATATGCATTAAAACCTTGAGAGGAAACTAGGTCTCTGAGGGGAGAAAAAAAAAAGAAAAAGAAAACAAATCAAAGGTTAAACCTTAAATAATTTTTAAAGTTAAATGGTTAAAATAAGGGGTACTAAGATAACATTTTATTATATGCTGCTACCAAGAACGAGGAGAAAGAAAAGCAAAATAATGATAGAAAGTAGGGAACTACTGGTTAGAGTCTAGTAGTCTAGTTTCAGTAAAGTGAAGGGAACTAACAGGCACTGTATAAGTGCTATACACCTTACCCCATTTAATAAAACCGTGTATGAGGTTGATTATTGCTATTCCTATTTCTTTATGCAGCTGAGGAAAGTGATCCTCCAAATTCATTTACTCAAGGCACAAGGCTAATGAAGTAACTGAACTAGAGTTTGACTCCAAATCTCTATGCACTTTTCACAGCTCCAAGCTGCAACAGTAGATACCCAAATCATCCCTTGAAAGAATAATGGGTAGATATCAAAGTGAAACAAAGTGATACAGAGGAGGAGAATAAGGAAGAAACCAAGGATTAAGTAAGAGTAAACTGAGCCACGCAGAATAATGACTACCATATCTGGCTACTTGCTTCCCTAATACATTTAGTAACTCCTAAATAATAGAATAGAGCTAACAGTGAAGGCCAATACAGAGAACAGTATCTTCCCTAGACTGAAAGAATATGCTTAAGGCTAGGGCTAAGGGCAGATAAAAATTGGAATAGTGGTCAAAGTTAATCTCAGCACATTAACATTAATATATATCTTTATTTTTTAAACATTTTATCTACATGAAAAGTTGATGGAAGTCACAATAGTATTAAAAATTAGAACTCTAAGTCTAAAAATTGATCATATTTTGTTTCTTATTCTTATTGAACTTTAAGCAATCTCCCTCAAAAACCTTCATCCTTGCCAAAATAATACAAAATCTTAACCTTGGTTTCACCAAGAACAGTTAAAAACAGAGGCAGTTTATCGGCATAGCAGTTAAGAATATAGATAAGGTTAGTTTCAAATACTGGCTCCTCTACTTGCTGAATAATCATGAGCAAGTTCCTTAATCCTCTAAGTGTCAATTGTAAAATGGGGATAATAATCCCAACAATTCTACTTTGACAGGACTGACTGAAGGACTAAACGAATTGATGTATATATGTGAACCTCTTAGTACTGTATTTAAGCAAAGAGTAATAGCTATTATTTTCATCACCCTTGTTATCAAATTGAAAATTAGAATTAAAGGGCCGGCCCGGTGGCGCACTGGAGAGTGCGCCGCTTGGGAGCGCGGCGGCACTCCCACCGAGGGTTCGGATCCCATGTGGAGACCGGTTCCTGCTCACTGGCTGAGCACGGTGCGGGCGCAACACCGAGGGTTGTGATCCCGTTACCGGTCAGTAAAAAAGACAAAAAGGAAAAATCGTATAACTTCGTATAATGTATGCTATACGAAGTTATTACGAAACCATTGATTCACTTATCTATCCAAGAAATATTTGTTGGGTGTCTGCAAAGTGCAAAGTCCCTACGTAAGACACAAAGATGAACCTGCACAGATACAGTTCTCAAGAGGGACCCAGTAGAGTAATGTGATGTCACAAATAACCACAAACAAAGCCCAAAACATTTGAATAGACCCTCAGAAAATAGCCTATCTTTCAATAAGAGGAGATGAGAAGGAGGCAATTTTAAAGTACTCATATATAAGTGTAGCTTTTATATATTTAGTTTTCAAACAATGAAGTATATGCTTTTGGTTACAAAAAGGAAAAAAAAAAAAAAAAAAAAGAAAAGAAAATTAGAATTAAACAGTACCTACTTTAGAATACTGAAGAAAATAAAACTAACCTAATGGTTCCCTATATTAAAAATTTTTAATAAATTATAAATAAAAGGAAAATATCGCAATATCTTTGTTCATTTTTTCTTATCAACTGTCGGAACCTAAAAGTCTAAATACGGTTATAACCCAAACTAGTAGCTTTATAATGACATACCAATCTCATACATAGGAAAATAACAGCTGGCCAGTAGGCTCACTTGGTTAGAGCATGGTGTTACAACACCAAGGTCAAAGGGTTGAGATCCCCACTCGCCAGCCACCAAAAACAAAACAAAACAAAAAATAACATAGGAAAACAGGAAAAGGGAAGTAACATTAAGTACATCACATATATTATCTAACTGCATTTAATGACAACAAAATATTAAGGATATATTACAAGGAAGTAGAACCTAGCTTGGAGGTGACAGTATCAGACAAAAAGGATGGACAATGGGACTAGTGGAACATTAAAGCTAAGGGATCTAACAATCCAGGCAAATAAAGCCTTGTATAAAAGAAAGGTTGGCACAATTTTTATAACACTCCAGAGTTACCATTTTCTAGCACACACACACACAAAGATAATAATGATATAAACAGAGAGAGGGAAGAAATGTGTATATACATGAGTATGTTGCTCATTTGTGAAGAGCATAGTTAGTTCCTTTTGAGAACACTGGCTAGTTTGGACATTAAGCACCTCAGTATCCATGTTGGGGAAACACTGGTTCTTTTAATTTTTAAGATACCTCTGCAGTCAAAGCTTTTGGAAGCTCCTAAAAAGAAATACTTTAATATTCCAAGGCCTATTCTAAGGCTTATACATTGAAGACCAGTGGCAGGAGGGAGGGGAGCACAACCATTTGAAGGTCCCCATGAAAGAGTCTAATCTTAACAATGTCCCCAAGACTAGCTGGCACAACTTAGAGGAGTTAGGCTGCCTCAAGGTGAAAGGCCTGGGAGCTCCAAAGAATGGCATTTTCCAAGACACCACAGAACTCACTAAGTCTTATGGTCTACAAAACATTTATTGTATGCCAACCTTTAACAAATTAATGGAGCATATTCCTGGATATCAGATAAAGACCAAGTTATAAATCACAAGTTGGTATTAGAGGATATACATAAGCCCTTTATTTTCATTACCATTTTCAACTAAAGTGTTCCTTTCCCTACTCATAAGAAATGTGGAATAGACAAACTTACAGGCTTTTCAAAATTGCTCTCCTTCTCAGATAGTAACTGTAAATTAGGTTGCCAGAGCAGGGAGCTGTCATGAATCTCTAGATCATCAAGCAAATTTTCTAAAGCTGCTAGCTCAATGTATTTACCAGTTAAGTCACATTGGTAATGTGTCTGAGAAAGAGTAAAAGGTAAAATAAAATAAAAAAATAATAATACCATCTCCTGAAACAATACTGGAAAACACCATGTTTCCCACAACTACCATTTTATTGTGTCTCACCTTTCTTTGTAGATCAGGAACTCTTTCACTGCCCACAACAGCATTTTCATATAGGCTACTGTATTCAGTATGATCATCCATAGTAATGACGTCAGACTCAGCCTTCCCCTGCAGGCCCTCTACAAAATAGGAGTCATTTTGCATAATCGTATGTATAGTAAAACTGAACTCAGCTTCCATAGGCCGAGGAATTTCACCTTAGCCTATATCAGCTTTCAGCAATGTCTCTTGGCTGACTGCAATTAATGATGCACCACTAGTCAATGGTAAAGCACCTTGTGACTTTGCATCACATGCCACCAACTTTGCTGAAAAGCTGCTTCCTACAGTTGCAGGTGAACCTTCAATGGCCTTACTAGAGTTTACATCCTTACCCAAATTATAGTTTGAGGAATCTGCAACTTTTTCAAAGGTTTGTTGCTTTAAATCTTGTAAAACCAAAGAATCTGAACTTAATACTTTCATTGGATACATAATGTTTGAAGATCCTACCTTCTCTGCAAAGTCAAGAGCAGGATCAGACTTTATCTTCCCAATGGGAAGAAATGGTTCATTGTTTATATCATACTGAAATAAAGCTGACTGTACTTTGCCAAGACCAACAACTTGGTTGTAAGATTTTTCACTTAAACAAGCAGATGACTTAAGCCCTAGAATAACAGAAAGTGGCTTAATTTTCCTCATCTCCTGAGGAGAATTAGGGGGTGATTTTAAATTTGGATGCCAGTATAGGGAGCTATCATCATAATCTTTTTTATGCAACAAGAGTTTTGAAACTGCTGGTTCAAATATCCTAGGAGTAGACTGATAGCGTGGATGCTTAAGCTTATCAAAGAAAGAGTTTTCATAATTGTAATTGAATAAGGAAAGATCTGGATTTTGGGGTTCTTCCTCTTGGCTGGCAGCTGTTAAAGATTTATTGATGTCAATTTGGATCTCATTTACTGTACTCTCTTTCTTAGAAGGCTCAATAGAGGCAATAACTGTTTCAAAGGCTACATTTTCAGTAATATCAACATTTTTCTCACCAAAAAAAGAAGGTGCCTTTTGGCTTCTTTCCTCTTGAAAATACAGTTGTTCTGATGTCCCATCCAAGTTGGACTTACCAGTCTGAAGAGGACCACCAGAAGTCTCCATCTTAGAGGTATCATGTCCCCTGGAGAGTACATGTGCTTCTGAAACTTTTACAGAATTATCAGGAACTACATTCCCAGTATACTGTACTTCTGAAGATCTAGGCTGCACCGCTGAAGATACTAAATTATTTCCAGTCTCCTTTGGTTCAAAACATTGAGATAATTCTTTCTGCAGACCTTCTTCATTTCTTTCATAACCCCCTAAACAATCCATCGTTTGTTTCACCTCATTCTCAGCTGGAGCCTCTAAATAAACACATTCCAAATAATGACTATCAGATGTCAAGGGGATCCCTTTGCCTCTTCTTTCCAACAAACATCGCAAGAAAGAATATGACATTTTACTATTATGACAAGGAGCAACTTCATGTGGAAAAGAAACATGGTCCTTACTGGTTACAGATGTTGCTGAAGTTCCCTGTTTGCTCCATGGCACGAAGGAAAAGGGGACACTATAGTTGTTACTTCCCTCAGGAATTTTATTTTTATCAATTGTGTCAGATGAATCCGAAAAAGAATCAAGGTCTTTACTAGTTAAATATGTTTCTGCTTGCTGTAAAGCTTCCTGTTTCCAATACTGCACATATGAACAAGAAGCATCAAAACTGTCACTTCTTTCAGTAGCTGTGTTTTCATCAATTATATCAGATAAAGAAGAAACCGAAACTTGATCTTTATCAGCTAAATTGGTTTCTGGCTGCTGTATATCTTTTTGTGTTTTCCATGGCATGGATGAACAAAGAGCATCATAAGTATCAGAGTCTTTAGGGGTTTTCAGTTCATCAACAGTATCAGATGAAATAGTCTCTTCATTATTTCTTTGTTCAGGAGGTGAAAAAGAGCACTGAGAGCCAACAGCCACACCACCTATAAGTGGATGCTGAGATATACAAAAGCTACTATTAACTAAATCTGAAGGTACTTCTGAGGTAGCCTGGAATAAAGCTTCACTAACTTCTGATGGTCGAGAAAACCATTCAGTGTCTTCAGATTTATCAGGAATTCCCCTGAAAACAGACAATTAAAAATAAATAAATATAATTAAGTATAAATAAATAAATATAATATAATTAACATGAAAATACAAAACTGGTATGTCACTGAAATCAAATTTATTCGAAAAGAATGTTGAAAAACAAAGTTCTAATGTCAAATTCCTTTAAGGTGGATAATGACTGAACAAAGCAAATTTTTTAAAACAGAAGGTGAACTACTGTACCACCCTATGCCCGTGATTTTATCTCAGGCTTCTCCTAAAACAACAGACACAGAATCTGATTTGCATATTTCCAAAATACTGATTCTTTTTTTATTTTTTTAAAGATGACCTATAAGAGGATCTTAACCCTTGACTGGATGTTGTCAGCACCATGCTCTCCGAAGTGAGCGAACCAGCCATCCCTACATTGGATCCGAACCCATGGCCTTGGTGTTATCAGCACCACACTCCCGAGTGAGCCACGGGCCGGCCCCCAAAATACTGATTCTAATGAAACATTTCAAATAATCTTTCAAGCTTTACCATTTTAAATGTTTAGCTTATCACCTACCATGCTTTAACATTCATTAATATTATGCATTAATTCTTTTACTAGTCATTTACTATGCTCTTGAAAACCTCTCAAGAAGTGATCTACTCCCAAAATACAACAGAAACTTCATCAGTGGTTGATGATATAATGTATGCACAGCATTCTCCATAAAAGTAATTATATAAAGTAATACATAAGGGCACAGGTTACTTTTCAAACATCTATAGTTTTTAATTTAAAGTGCTTTTTTTCTCAGTTCTAAGAGAAAAAAACTTATATTCTTGGATAATTCCAAATATGTTTGGAAGAATTCCATACTTTTCTACCATTATGACCACCCTAGAGGACATTAATTTGGAATATCAATTAATTTGGATATACTTGCTGTAAAATTTGTGTTACTTCATATTCATACCTCCTATAAGGTAAGGAGAGCTAACTAGGCTCATTCAATAACAGCTGGCCAAAATAAGAGTGCCAAACAAGTTAGTGACCTAGAAATGAATGTTGCAGAATGAGGATAAAAGGGAGGGGAGGGATAATGGGCAGCAGTTGGGAGGTTTATAGAATGCCTTCTAAATTAAAATATGCCTCGGCTCTGCTAGAGTCCTAAGGTGTGGACCTAGGGGAAGCTGAACCCAGCCACATCTAGGCAAGCTGCTGCCACCGCCCCAGGTCCTAGCTGGGGTCCTGAGCCACGGAGTCGGAAGAAGCCAAACCCATCCACAACCAGGTAAAGAGAACAACATAAACACCATTTTCACGCAGGCAGCCCACCATAGCCACCGCAATTGCCATGGCTGCCACAAAAGCAGCTGACTCTCTATAGCCGCAGTCACAGCCACCGTGCAGATGGCATGCCAGACTCTCAACTGCACTGACACAAGGAGAGGCACCAGCGGAGACCAAAAAAAAGGAGGTCCTCTCTCTCTACAAAGCACATTCTAGAGTAATAGAAGAAGCATCTGATTTACAATAATAGGGGAGGACTTGATCACACCTGTCTCAGCACTGGACAGATCATCTAGTCAACAAACCAACAGAGGAACAGTTAATCTATCAGATGGAGAGAACAAATCTATGGTTATTAGAGGGAGGAGGGGCAAAGAGGGAGGAGGTAGGAGGGCATGGGAGGAGAAAAGGGTGGGGAAGGGGGAGAGATTGGATAAGGGGCATAAAGAATAAGTATAATTTGTAACAATAAAAATGCTAATAAAAAATAAATTAAAATAAATAAAACAAAAATAAATTAAAATTAAAATTTAAAAAAATATATATATGCCTGAAATGCTAGAATACATTGGAAATTATTTTTAAATAAACTGCAGTCTCTTGGCTCATCTGTACACATATGTTACTATGCCAAATTAATACAAATCATGTCTTAATTTAGGGCCTTATTACCTTTAGCGTGTGTGCTAGGAATTTCTAACCCCCACCCCAAAGTCCCACCTTAGCCTGAAATTAATATTAGTAACAAATTAGAACAAGAAAAGAGTAGAACAGTTGCATGCAAATAAATAAATCCTCCTACCTCAGAGGTGCAAAATCTAATTCACTTTGGTGAAATAAGGAGTCAGGCCCAAATTCTTGGTCTTGTGTCAAACATGTCAGCAAAGGCAAATCAGGAGAAGCAAAGCTATCCTGTATGACTGTAAAGTTTCAAATATAAAAATGCTGAGTAATACTGAAAATCGAATGTTTAGCTTATTCACATAATACTTTAAAGCACCTAAATATGCTGCCACCTAGAAGTTTCTACAAACATTAGAATAATAATATAACAGCAACAGAAGCAGCTACCATTTAACAAGAGCCTGCCAACATGCAGGCACTTAACATACAATATTTAATTTAATCTTCATGACAACTTTAAAGGATATGTATTATTATACCTATCTTATATGTGAGGAAATGTGATTACAAAACTTAATAAGCATTAAGTCATTTGTCCACATTCAAACAGCTTAAGTGCCAGAGTGAGATTTACACCTACATATTCTGTTCAGCAAATGTCCTTAACTATTATGAGTGTTTCTTTCTACCTTAAGTAATACATTTCTTGTATCAAAGTGTGGTCCGGGGGCTCCTAGGCCCTAAGACACTCAGGAGGTGACTAGGGTCAAAATTACATACAAAATAATATTAAGATGTCATTTGCTTATTCACTCTCATTCTCTCTAAAGGGTACAGTGGCATTGTGCAGAAGCTACATCAAGTATGATATTGTAACAGATTGAATGCGGAAGCAGGTATGAGAATCTTGCTGTCTTCTATTAAGTCAGACATCACAGAGTTTTTTGGTTTCTGTAAATAAAAGAAGGCTACTCTTCTAAATATTTTTGTTTTGGAAATAATTATTTTTCTATAAAACTATGTACTTTATGTTAATATGCAATGGGGTGGTGGTAATTTTTAAACCAATTAAGAAATATTTTTAAATTTCTCAGTTTCATTTTCTAATATGGGAAATATCAGTAACCCACATAAACAAAAGCTCTTTGGAATTGTCAGTAATTTTTCAATGTGTAAAGAAGTCCTGTTACCCTCAAAAAGTTTGAGGACTACTGCTTTAAAGGAAAAATAATTCTTGTGATTTCCTGAAAGTTCATTTAAATAATTCTTCTTATAGAGTTTTTAAATATGTATAAATTTTATATAAAGTACTTATTCCTTCTAGCATTTACACAACTATAAAACAAAAAATTAAATATTAATGGAAACAAAAGTTTATTATAAAATCAACAGCAGTTCATTTAAAATTAAATTGCTTTTTCAATATGAATGTAATACTGTTTGCTACAGAATACTTTCTTGATTTCAGAATGCCTATAATACAGTGTACAAAGTGATGACTACTCTCTCACCACTATTCTCCATGAGATTATTGCAAACTGAGGGTTCACAGAGCTCAACATGGTGTCATCTGCTCTTCACTTGGGGCAATGATGCATTCTCACTGCTCTCACAGACCCCCCCACACCCTCCCTATCATAATTAATCCCACTTTTGTTTTAGTCTTTAGTCTGTCTGCTTCCTATCTAAATTGTCAATTCCATGTCTGCTTTATTCAGAGCTATATCCTCAGTGCCTAGCAAAGTACCTGCTACACTTAGTAGGTACTCAAAATAGGATTATTTATTTACTGAATGAATGAATTAAAAATGAGAAACTGATAGATAATAACGACATTTACCACCAAGGAACAATCGGTATGGTTCCTCTTTGGCCTTGGCTTAGATCAGCCTTAAATCTTATTAACAATTATTCAACCTCCTGAGAATCATGAAGGTTTTTTAACAAAGTCCCCAAATAAACTAGGGCTAATGCTACAAGGGAGACCCTTGGGCAAGTACAGCAAATTTCCTGTTTCCAATTAAGCATAGGCTGAGCATTTAAAGAAACTGAGAGTCTTTTCTAAAGAAAATTAGAGTTATCTCTAACCAAGTTCCAGAACTTACAGAAATCCTTATTACCTAAAGTAACTATCTAGGTATAACTAAGAAGTAGTAAGAAATAAATAAGTATAAGCAGCATTTCAGCATCTCCTTAACATTTAAGACTATTTCAGGATGGAGTTAGAGTTAAACCAAGTAAATGGGAAAATGCATTTTCTAAAGTAGCAGGCCAAAAGTGACAAGTTAATCAAATGCATGTATATGCATGTGTTTGTGTGGTGGGGGAAGGCTGTACACCTTACTGGTGATGGCTTTCCCTTACAGCTTTCAACTGCTTCTTGTTTCCTCACATTTGGACAGCTGTCAATGGCTTGGATCCCTCTTTTTTGAGGCATCTAATCATATGGCACAAGTCATCGTCAGTTACATTGCCACTGGTGAGAGCCTACACACCACAAGACAGTATTTATGCATAACAAAACAGCAATGATGGGACTTCCTCGAGCCATCAGATCCAAGGATCTGATCCAATAACTAAAAATGTTCCAATTTTTTTTTTTTTTTTTTAATAAAAAGATGACGGGTAAGGGGACCTTAACCCTTGCCTTGGTATTGTCAGCACCACACTCTCTGAAGTGAGCTAACCAGCCATCCCTATATAGGGATCCGAACCTGTGGCCTTGGTGTTATCAGCACCACACTCTCCCAAGTGAGCCATAGGCCAGCCCCAAAATGCTCTACTTTATCTAGAGTAGATGACAAACGGGAATTACAAAATTTTACATTAGAAAATATTTTAGAAGTCAAAATACAATCTCCTACCCAGTATTGAAATCCTTCTATTATAGAATTTTGCTTGACATTTTGCCACTGACATAAAGCTTTTTGTTTTTATATAGCCTTTTCCACTATTAAATGGCTCTATTAGAAAGTTCCTTCTGGGCCGGCCCGGTGGCGCACTGCTACAGTGCGCCGCTTGGGAGCACAGCGGCGCTCCCGCCGAGGGTTCGGATCCCACATACAGACCGGTTCCCGCTCACTGGCTGAGCGAGGTGCGGGCGTGACACCGAGGGTTGCGATCCCGTTGCCGGTCCCGGTCCGGTACGGGCGCGACACTGAGGGTTGCGATCCATTGCCGGACACGAAAAAAGACAAAAAGGAAAAAAAAAAAAAGAAAGTTCTTTCTTATATCATGTTGAAAATAGCCACCCTATAAGTGATGTATTCTCATTTTAACCTGATTTTTGTAAAGGACCAGATAGCAAATATTTTAGTTTTTTTTGGTCACATATGGTCTGTCACATATACTTCTTTTTTGTGTTTGTTTTTACAATCCTTCAAAAGCGCAAAAACCATTCTTAGCTCATGGACAGTACAAAATCAAGCCTTGGCCTGTCAGCTATAGTTTATAGACCCCAGCTCTAGACCATTATAATATTCATCTGAAGGTACTGTTATTTTCTGTTTAGTGGACTGTCTTCCCAAAAGAGGAGGTATCTTTCATCTATATATCCCTAACATCAAACACACAGTAGAAACTTCAGTATTTGTTACATAAATGAATGAAAAATAAATTGGTTCTCTTTAGCATGGCAGCCCTTCAAATATTTGATTATAGCAAAAAAGTCTTCTCTTTCATCTACTATCATAGTCATCTCTTCCCACAAAGATACTCTAATTTTATCAATATCTTTCTTAAAATGTAGACCTAAAACTGGCTTTAAATAATCCCTATCACAGAATATATTGGCACTAATAGCTTGATTTGAATAGCATTAGCTTATATTTGAAAGAACTTGCTGAATTAAGTCCTATTCATGCTTCTCTACAAAACTCTATAAAACTATCTTCCCGGTTAAATCCCTTAATGACTTGAAATGTACTTAAAGTTTATCTTTTGTAAAGAGCTAATAAATCAGCTCTATACTAAACAGAGGAAAGCAGTAAGATCTATCTCAGACAAACCACTCAACCTCCTTATCTCAATTTTTTGGTCTGAAAGCCGAGGATAACAACACATGCCATAATTAATCCTAAGAATCAAATGAGGGAGATATAAACATTTGCTTTTTGTTTGTATTTTAGGGATCACGGAGTCTCTATTGCTGAGAGAACCGGTCAAAGGATAATATATAGTTTACCCCAAGAACAACTCTGTAAATTCAGGACCGAGGAGGCACACCCACTAGAGAGGAAATTATCATCTTTCTGCTTTCTAAGAGCAATAGGGAATGGTAAAATGAGGGACAACTGCATATTTAATATAACTAGACCAGCTGTCCAGGGTGGAAAACCAGAAATAAGCTAATCCCTTTGAGTACGGCTCTACAGAGTTCCTGAGCTCAAAAGGAATTTAGTTAAAGGACTTGCAGCCCCACAAAACTGTTTTACAAATGTGAGGTATTACTACTAGTTAAAAATAAAGAGGCATTACCTAGCAAAGGAGAACATAAGAGATCTCTGTTGGAATCCTTTACTCGATTTTCTGTTTGGTTCAATACACCTTCCTCCAGTGAAGGGAAGTCTGTCACTTTGGTGCCTTCTGCTCTCACATTAAGCCTGGTCTGGGACGTATCCAAGGTTTGGGAAGAGCCCATTTCTTGAGGAAGACAATGCCAGGATTCCGTTCTCTAAAAAAAAAATTTTTAAGGAAAACATGCTAAGTCATTAACTGAGTCACCATACATGTTAACGTTTATATTAAAACGTTCATTCACATAGCATATAGCTTCTCATTTAAAGACATTCTCATCAAAGTTTGGAAAATGTAAAATTCTTTCTATGTTTCTCATAATATTAACTATATTTCAGACCACTTCCCATTACTACCCACCTCTTAAAGTGCTGAAGAATGACTGGCATTTTAACAGTTCTAATCATTAAATCAAGAGATTTGATTCTACGTGATGAAATTTCACAATGTGATTATAGTAAAGCTGAAAGAAATTTCCAAAATGAAAGCTATAGTATTCCCTACATGTGACCACTTTACTGAATTTTTATTAGCTAATCTAGTTTCTAGAGGATTCCTGGCTTTTCACTGGATATAACATCATATCACCCAAGAATAGTAATACATTTATCTCTTTCGAATATTTATTCTTATATTAGTGGCAAGATTCAGAGCAATGCTTCTCAGACTATGGAGAAGGACCAGTTCTTCCTACTTCCAACTCATCACGGACCGATACATTATTAAAATGCTAATAAAAACTAACAAGTAATAAATAAAAAACAATTTTTTAAAACTAGTAAAAATAACTATAAAAATGAAATATAAAAGATATATAAGCCCAAAATATAAACGAAAAGCTCAAATGTTTGATTTCTATTTCTAAAAATAGATAAAATTACTCTGCTAAACAGCTATAAAAGTTTCTAAACACTTCCTCTCAATTTCTGTACTTATCTCTTAACAGACCAGTAACAAGCAATTCATGGACTGGCACCAATCCACAGAAATGTTTAAAGTTGAATTAAATACTAATGGTAACAAGTTTTAAAGTCATTTTCCTTTTAAATATGCTATTAATAATGAAGTATATTCTTCCTATCATGCTTTTATTTTCACTTTTAAAAAATCTGATTAGGAATGAGCACTAAATTAAGATCAAACTACATAACAATATCTTTCCTCCCCTATTAAACCTGATAAAGTATAGTAATAAACTTCTTTACATTGAAACATCTTCATATTTCTTACTTAGTGGCAGATCAGACTTTTTAATCATATTTGCTAGCATATTCTTTAACAGTCTCACACGTATAGTCATAAATAAGATTAATCAGCATTTTAGAATGCCTTACTTTGTTTTCTAACCGTGTTTCATAACTTTGTTCTATATTTATTTTATACAAGGAAATTCAATTTTCCTTAAAAATTTAAAATATTTCATCAGTGAATCTATTAGGTCCAAAAACCTTCTTGATAGCTATCATAACTTTCTCAATTTCTTCCTTAGTAATGCTAATCCACCTTTATAAACTTTGACAGGTTTGTATAAAGTCTATTTCACTTGGGTTTTTTTCTTGACTGTACTTACCAGGAATGCATCTAATATTTCTATAAATCTTGAATTGAACAATTTTATTTTCTAACTTACTTATTTCTGTTTTCTCTACTTCAAGTTTTTCATCCTTTACCTACATCTTTGGTTTAACAATTAGCTCATTCCATCTTACTTTTATTTATTTATTTAAATTAAAACATGAGGGCAGCAGCGCTCCCGCCGTGGGTTCAGATCCCACATACAGACCGGCCGCTCACTGGCTGAGCGAGGTGCGGGTGCAACACCGAGGGTTGCGATCCCGTTGCCGGTCCCGGTCCGGTACGGGCGCGACACTGAGGGTTGCGATCCGTTTCCGGTCACGAAAAAAGACAAAAAGGAAAAAAAAAAAAAACATGAGAAGATGAAATTATATTGATAGCAACCTTAGATATGCAAAATGCATTGGCCTTCATTATTTTGTAAATAGTCTATTATTGAACTCTTCATCCTTGACCAACTCAAATGTTTTTAAGAGAATATAGATATCTTTTAATTCTGAGATGACGCAGAATCCATGACGGAGTTTGGATGTGTTGTCCCCTCCAAAACTCATGTGGAAGTTTGATCTCCAATATGGCACTGTTGGAAACTGATTGAGTCATGGGGGCGGATCCCTTATGAATGGATTAATGCTCTCCCTAGGGGAGGGAGAGTAATGAGTGAGTTCTTGCTCTATTCATTCCCACAAGAGTTTGTTGTTTTTAGGACCCTGGCACCTCCTCTCTGTCTCTCTTGCTTCCTCTCGCCATGTGATCTGCTTGTACCCACTTGCTGCCTGCCACTTTCCACCATGAGTAGAAACAGCCTGAGGCCCATGCCAGATGTTGCTGTCCCAGAATTGTAAGCCAAATAAACCTCTTTTCCTTATAAATTACCCAGTCTCAGGTATTTCTGTTACAGCAACACAAAATGGACTAATACAATCTATAAAAAGAAGACGCATTACAACTTACAAAGATTTTCACAAACATTTCCTAACAGGACTTTAGTCTTTGGAAGGGTATTTTCAGTATTTAAAATTCATTACTAAAACAGTCACATAGTACATTTTTAAAAAAAAAAACCCAACTATGTACTACATAATATCTGTTATACACATTTATGAAAAAAAAAAAGCTGGAGAGAAATATTCTAAAATATTATATCTATTCATCTATGCTTTATGGGATTATGGAACAGCAGCCCTTTGACATTCTAAAATATCTCAATCCCTTTTACACTGGATAAATTAGTCAAATCTATAATATAACATCAGCTGGGTGTCACTCCCCGCCCCCCACCCCCACCCCTGGCCCTACACAACAAGCTGTGCCAGTAGCATGTACCAATTCCTCTCGGGCTCTTGGCCGCTGCTCTGAGTAGAGTCACCTTTGACGCAAGTAAGCTGGCAAGCACTATGGGGAAAAACAAAACAAGAAAAAGTGCCAGAAGTGCTATAAGAGGAGGAAGAAGAATATGTGGTGGGAAAAGTTCTCCACCACCCAGTGGTAAAGGCAAAGTGGAATACCTCCTAACCTGGAAGGATTTCTCAGATGAGGACAACACATGGGAGCCAGAAGAGAACCTTGACTGTCCTGACCACATTGCTGAGTTTCTACAGCCATAGACAACAGCACACGAGACAGATAAATCAGAGGGAGACAAGCGCAAATCTGATTCTGATTCTGAAAATGAGGGAAAGGAGAGAGCAAACCAAGGGCCCAAGCTCTTAGGGTGGAGAACTCTTGAAGCCTCTCTGTTTTTTGAACTTTGAACTCAAATCATTGGTGGCAGGGTTCAGTCACTGACAGCACAAGTTTCACTGAATCAATTCAAGGGTTGAATGATTTCTTTTTTTTTTTTTTTTTAAAGATGACCGCGGGCCGGCCCAGTGGCGCACTGGATAGTGCGCCGCTTGGGAAGCGCGGCGGCGCTCCCGCCCGAGGGTTCAGATCCCACATACAGACCGGTTCCCGCTCACTGGCTGAGCGAGGCG